AAAGAGCAGGACATTGGAGAATTTGAGTGTGAGCAGTGCACAGGGGTTTTGGATGGCGTGTCCTCCATCCAAAAAAGTTATCCAGGGACAACTCTTGGACTGAATGAATGAAGTTCGGAGAAATCACGTGGCTGCCTGTCTTGATTTGCAGGTCCTCCAGTGGCTGTGGGAATGAACATAGACATCGCCAGCATCGATATGGTTTCTGAAGTGAATATGGTGAGTACTGAGAGTTACACCTATGTCTTTGCGGACCTTCACATGGGGACAGGGAGGAGGAGGGAACCTGGAGTCCGGAGTGGGGTGTGTGTGAGTATGTGTACGAGGTGGGGACTAAAGCAGGGAATTTTGCCTTGGAATATCCTGTGTTGGAGGTTACAGAGAAGGCACTTTCTGGTTCTTAATGAATTTTTTTCAACCTGGTTCACATACTTGGGACTTGGCACAGAGGAAATAAAATGCATCACACATTCATGGGTGAAATGCAGCCACGTGCAGGAGGCCCCTGCAGAAACCGTGTTTCCTAAGGCATACTGGGAAACCCAATTCATCAGGTGACATTCTGCGTTTGGGGTCAGGCCAGGGGAGAGAGGAGCGTTTTGATTTCACATTTAAGAGAATATAACCTACAAACAAAACTATAACATGGACCCTGGAATACGATGCCTACTGGTTGCTTTGGGAGATCACTCCTTTACAGTTAATGACACTCCTCTTCTCACCCCTTCCGCCCCATTGTTTGCTGCCTCCTTTAACACCTCCTGCCACCAAAATAAAATAAATATTGACTCCCCAGTTTCCGAAAGGTAGGCTCAGAACCTTGTGTCATCTCTGGTCACTTCAGCAATGTTATTCACCTCATGTTCTAAACTTGTAAAATTGATTGACAGCAGCATTCCATAGTGTCCCCCTGCTTGGACTCGAGGTAGCAAATGCTAAAGGAGAAAGCTTGTGTGCTCGGGACCAGGAAACACGTGTAGGGGGTTTGCTTCATGCAGGAGCGCCCCCTGCTGCCCATCGTAGAACACTGCAGAAGTGCCAGACAATGGCAAGTGCTCCAGATACCCCTCCTTACTTGGGACACTTCTTCAGGGACTTTATTACTTTGTATTTTTGAAATTTTTCCCTTGGGAATAGCCCTTCTAGGGGTAAAATTTCAATATAAAATTCCTGTGTCACTTTCAATCTTGATAGCCCACGGTACATTTTAGAATATTGTGTATTATGGCATAGTTCTGTCTAGAAATTTGTTGCATTATTAAATAGAGGGGAAGAGTGTGTAAGCTTTTATGCAAAACTTAAAGCCAGCAGGACTTGTAAGTTAGCTGTCAACATTACACACATTTCCATATTCCCAGAATTTGAACACAAAAAGAAGCTAAATAACCAGTACAGTCCTTATACTCTGTCTCAAAATAAGTGATAATCTTGAGGTATCACAAGAGTCTAAAACATATGACGACTTATGCCTATACCTTATGAATACTCAAGGTAATATTCAGCTATTTCAGTGATGCTTGAATGACGTGAATCTTACTGTATTCTAATTTTGGGAAAGTTCTTACCATACAGGATAAAAACACGGACTAAAGACAATATTGGATGTTTCAGAACTATAGATTTCCCTCACATTATGAAAATCCCTTGTGCAGATAGAGAATGTTTCTTGGGAGATCATTTAATTCCTCACATATGCAAATATTCACTCTTGTGGAATTTTAGAGGACTTTTATCAGTTCGTATTTTGAATTTCAGCATAAAATTAAAAAAAAAACCGCTCCAATATGGGTAACTCCTAAGGCCTAGGAACTTCATTCTAAATTCTTTTGTTACAAAGTCCTGCAGAAATCATGTGTGAGTCTCTGTGTCCTACACGTGATTGAATCAGACTCTTCTCCTTTGCATTTTGCTTTATTTGTGCTCTCTCCTGTCCCAGGATTTATTTTACCACCCCCTTCTTCAGAACATCAGAAAAATGGGATTTTGTTTAAAGAAAAGTTAGGGAAAATTAGAATCCAAAGAGATGATAATTAGATGACTTGAGGTTGCTGCAATAGGTTAGGTAAGAACTTAGGTGTATTATATCCTAAAATTGTTTGGAATGGTAAAGCTGCTGTTTTCTTTTCCTTTAAATTTTGTTCATTTTTTTTTATGCACATACAAGGTTTTTGAGAGGTGTCTAAGGTGGACCTAATGCCAAGACCTGCTAGTCAAAATATAGATCCAGCTAAGCAAGGTGTCATCACTTAAAGCTGTTTACTGTTGCTGAAAAATCATGGGATGTTGAAAGTGCAAAAATAAATGTCAGGTTGTAAATGGGACAGCATTGCAGCATCAGTGATTAGAACCAAGTGTTGAAAATTCCAAGCCAGATTCCTTTCTTAGCCTAATGGTGATACTCATGGATTTGTCCAGCCACATTTTCACTTCGACAAATGGACATTTATTTCAGCTAGCCATCTTAATGGCCTCAAATTAATCCATCAAAGGGAATTTTTCTTGTTTCAGAGCAACAGATGGGAAATTCCATCACTGATGTCTAAATAAAAGAGAAAAAATGTTTATGTTCTGTTATCTCCTGTATACAGGTCTCAAAGTGTTAAAATCTTTTGATTCGATTCACTTCTGAAAGCATGTTTGAGTGATTAAATATTTAAGTGAAACTTCTAAATTGATTAGCAGACACATCTTTGGCTCGTTTTCCTTTGTGGATGACCACCTCTGGTAATTGTTCCTTTCTTTTTTTATAGCACATCTTGCTTTGAAGAATGGTAGGCATCAGGCCATTTAGATTGTCATTGATTCATTTGTGCTGAAGGAATAAATGTTCATGTCAATACAATGCTCCTTGTAAGTGACAACGGTAGAAAGACCCTGCACTGAATCAAGAGTCTTAGATGCTAGTTCTACTTCTAATACTTAGTTCATCCTGTGGATAGTCACAGCCAGACCAGGCTCAGTATCTTCACTTGTTATATTGGGGATTTTATCTGTCTCAGGTGACCACCAAAATGTGCAAAATGATAACAGGCATACCTCCCTTCATTGCACTCTGATTTATTTTGCTTTGGATATTCTATTTTTTTTTTTTTAACAAACTGAAAGTTTGTGATAACTCTTCATTGAGCAAGCCTATGAGTGGTATTTTTCCAACGGCAAGGTCTAACTTCATATCTCTGTGACGCGTTTTAGTAATTCTTGCAATATTTTGAACACTCTGTTATTATATCTGCTATGGCAATTTGCAATCATTGATCTTTGATATTACTATGTAACATAAGCAATGAGCTTTGCTTATATGGACAGCAAACTTAATTGATAAAAGTTGTTTGTGTTCTGACTCATCAACTGATTGGCTATTTTCTGGTAGCCTCTTTACTTCTGAGCCACAGCAATACTTAAATTAGGCCAAGGCATAAACCTACGTGGGCCTCTGAGTGTTCAGGTGAAAGGAGGAGTCCCACATCTCTCACTTTAAATCAGAAGCTCAAGCTGATTAGACTTAGTGTGGAAGGCATGTCCAAAGTGGAGATAGGTTGCCAACTCGGCCTTTTGCACTCAATGGTGAGCTGAGTTGTGAAGGCAAAGGAAAAGTTCTCAAGTCAATTAAAATGACTACTCCAGTGAACACAGAAAGATAGAAAGCAAAACATTAATATTATTGATATGGAGAAAGTTTGAGAGGTGTAGATAGACCAAACTAGCCACAATATTCCTTTAAATGAAACCCTAACTGTTGAATTCTGTGAAGGTTGAGAGAGGTGAGAAAGCTGCAGAAGAGAAACAGGAAGCTAGCAGAGGTTGGCCCTTGACTTGAAGGAAAGAAGCATCTCTATACCACAGAAGTGCAAAGTGAGGCAGCAGGTGCTGCTGCGGAAACTGCGGAAGTTTATCCAGAAGACCTAGCTAAGATAATTGATGAAGGCAGCTCCCCTAGACAAATGTATAATCGTGGACAAAACAACCCTGTGTTGGAAGACGATGCTCCTGAGGACCTTCAGAGCTAGAAAGGAAAAGTCAGTGTCTGGCTTCACAGCTTCAAAGCACATGCTGACTCTTGCTAGGGGCTAATGCCACTGGTGACTTTAAGTTGAAGCCACGATCATTCATCATTCCAAAAATTCTAAGACCTTAAGATTGTGTTACATCTACTTGGCCTGTGCTCTATAAATGGAACATTAAAGCCTGGATCACAGGACATCTGTATAGCATTGTTTACTGACTCTATAAAGCCCACTGTTGAGACTTACTGATCAGAACACACACACACACACACATACACACAAACAGACAAAGGTTTCTTTCAAAACATCCCTACTCGTTGACAATGCACATGGCTACCCAAGAGTTCTGATGGATATTACAAGGAGATTAATATTGTCATTTTGCTAACACAACATCCCGCACCCCATGGCTCATGAAGTAATTTCAACTTTCAGTTCTTATTACGTAAGAAATACATTTTGTAAGGCTGCAACTGTCGTAGAGAGTGATTCCTCTGGTGGATCTCGGCAAAGCAAATTGAAACCTTCTGGAAAGGATTCACCACTCTAGGTGTCATTAAGAACATTGACAATTGAAGAACAATTCCTGGGAGGAGGCCCAAATATCAACATTTATAGGAATTTGGAAGAAGCCGATTCCAACTTTCATGGATGACAGCAGAGTCAAGATTTTAGGGGAGGAAATCACTGCAGATGTAGTATTACTAATGAAAGAACTAGAATTAGAAGTGGAGGCTGTGATGGGACTGGTTTGCTATAGTCTCACGGTAAGACCTCTTGAGAAGTTGCTCTCTGTGGATAAACAAAGAAGACAATCTCTTGAGGTGGAATCTACAACTGGGGAAGATGGGGTGAACATCGTAGAAATGACAACAGAAGGTTCGGAATGTTACATAAACTTGGTGCAGCAGTAGTCTGAGAGGATTGATGTCAATTTTGAAAGTTTTCCTGTTGATGCATCGCCGTCCAACAGCATCATATGCAGCAGAGAAATCTTTCATGAAATGAAGAGCCAATTGATTTGCCAAATTTCGCTGTTGTGTTATTTAAGAAGTTGCCACAGCTTCCCCAGCCTTTAACAACCACAAGCTGGTCGTCAGCAGCCATCAACATTGAGGCAGGACCTGCCACCAGCAAAAAGATTACACTTCACTCATGGCTCAGATAATTGTTAACATTTTTTAGCAATAAAGTATTTTTAAATCAAAGTATGTA